CGGAAGTAGGATTGCCCAACCTTCCTTCCGAGGAGTGGCTGGTGGGTTTGAATCGCCAGCCTTCTGGTTAGCAGTCAAGTGCCTTAGGCACTATACTACCAGAGCTCCAAACACTGGCCTAGAATGTGGTATATTCATTACCTTGAGCCCTCTTGGAAAATCGCCAACCTGCTTCCCTGGGCAACTCCTCAACAAGCTTTGTTTAACTGTGTTTGAGCCTGTACACACTCACACACACTGTACATTGATTAGTTAAGGAGAAAATTATATTATCACTTACAATGGGATGCTGTTAATTAGGCTTATGTTTCTGGTATGATTTAGAGATGTTAAGAAATCAAAACATATTTTCATTAAATTATTACCCATGCCTGTCATTAATATGGGAGCTCTGATAGTGTAGTGCCTAAGGCACTTGACTGCTAACCCGAAGGCTGGCAGTTCAAACCTATCAGCCACTCCTCGGAAGGAAGATGGGGCACTCTACTTCCATAGTGATATTGCCTAGCAACCCCAAGGAGGGGTCGCTATGAGTCAGGTCTGACTCGATGGCACGTAACAACAACAACAACAAATCATTAATATGTAATATTTTGGTTAAGAAAAGGAAAGCATACTGCAGTTGATGACTCAAAGCCCACCTTCCAAACCCAAAACTCTGAATAAATTTTTTCATAGAAAAAGGAAACTGAGTAATCTATTAGTCAACATGAAATTAATAACTCATGAGTTTTGTGGTTCTTACCACTTATTCGTTCCAGTCTATTCAGTTTCATAAATGTGTCTTGAGTGCCACCCATGTGCAAGGCACCGTGATGGGTGTTCCATATTTGTGTACTCAGAGCTGTGGTATTACAGATGCAGCCATAAAGTACTACAGGAGAGTAGCAGTGTCTCCACACAGAATATAAAAGTGATCCTACTACTCATTACATAATCTTTTTAGAATCTGTCAGTCTGATCCTCACTGATTGGCAGTCTCCATGGGAAATACCTAATTCCTATCTAATGGCTAACTGCTGTTGCTACAAAGCGTTTGATAAGGGCATTGCCCTTGTAGGCATTTGTTTTGGGAAATCTTCCTGGTGTTTTTTCTGCCCATCGCCAGCCCACCAAGGCTCACCTGTGAAGAACTAGCTAGATGCCCTGCTGTTACCCATCTGCTGTATCTGTTCAGAGTATTCTTGCCAGCCATAACAAGTAACATTTCAGTGCTAGTGGATGACGTGTGCTGAATGCTGTTCAATATTGTGTGGCATGTCAGTGAGCAGGCGACCTGAGTCTGACTTCTTCCCAGCATGAATCCGCAGGGGAAAATATCCCTTAGGATGCCTTGGTACTGTCTATAAAAACAGATGAAAATGCTGACTGCTACAACTTTCAACAGTTGCGTTTTTCCTTCCTGGCCAGATTCTGACTGGTCTTATTAATGAACTCCTGCATTTCATCAACTTTATGTTTCTGGCATTGCAGTGCTGACACACATTGCTACACAGAATAAGTGGCAGGCTCAGTGGGTGCCTTCCAGATAAGTAGTCCAGGAAAAACTTCTGTCCCCTGCATTACATTAAATGTTTTGTTTCAAAAGCACTTAATCCTACTCTGGAAAATCTAACTGTATATCCTCATTGAGTTGGTCAGTCCTCACTGGACTTGTGCCGTGTTGGAACCATTTCCAACTAGATATAGTTGGATAAAACTGGAGTTAGGTCCACCTCCAGTTGACATTTTCTTTTTTCCATTCTTTCACAAATAGCTTGTAACTGGGTACATCAGAATCACTTGGAGCATTTAGTGAGCATTAAGGTGTTCAATTCAGATGTAGTAAATCAAAATTTAGGAATAACTCCCAG